ATAAAACAAAACGAAAAGAAACGTCTATATAGAAAACATTCATAATTACTTTGAGCTAAGTGGAATTTGTTATTATTTATTTAACAACAAGCAAGATCTTTTTGAAATGAAATGTATTTAGAACAATGCAAAACAAAACACAACAACAAAAATCAATGATCAATTTTGTCTATATGTATTTATATGTATGTATATAGATGCATATAACTTTTAAATATGCATACTATATGCATACATATACATATATATCTATATCTATAAACACATTTCACTTTCATTTTTGTTATATAATTTAATACCTATTTAATTTATTAAAACACAAAACAAAAAATGACTTGTAAAAAAGAAAATACCATGTAATAAATATACTATAGATATTATTATAGCAAACCAGCAAAGAATAAGAGGGAATCAAAAATCAAGCAACTATATCTTAGAATATGTTGTCTTTATTTTTGGTTTTTTATTCAACTGAAGCGCCGCGCTCTGTTAAAAAAAAAAATTATGATGCATTATATAGTAAAATATATATATATATATACACGGCAGAACAACAACTATGAAGAATCAGGAAGCTCTTAACTTGAGCTAGCAAAAACTATCCGCAGAATGACAAAAAGCAAATAGCAACAACAAAAAAAGAAAACGTTTTTACATTTCTCTTAAAATTCTTTTCATTTTTAACAAAGGAAAACGAAAAATTTTTAAAGCAAATGCCAAATCGAAAAAATTTAAATTCGATTTAAACATTTTCTCTGTAAATTTTAATAAAATGCGCGTGTCACTGTGCACAGTGACATACAGATTTCTAATTGAAATATTCGCAACAAATCCAAATGTTTTATTTACCTTTGTGTGAGTGGCTGTGTGTATGCGTGTGTGTATAGCTGTAGCCAGACTAGCAGAAGCTCCAACTGTATCTTGGAAACTCTCGCTCTCACGATCTCTCCTCTCTGGTCAAATGTGAGTACACTTAGAAGAGTAAAGAAAAAATACTTAACAAGCCACACTCTGCACACTCTGCAAATGTAAATAAAACATTGATTGTTGTACAAAAGTCTTAACTTTTTAAATGAATGTGCAATAGTTCAACTATTATTTCCCCCCAAACAATTTTTAAATCTTTCATGGCAATACTCATATATTTTTTAAGCTTAAGAACAAACATACACAAATGAAAAGTGTAAATGATTTTTAATATTTAAGCGACGAAGCTAGAAGAGAAAATTGTGTGTTCATTGCCAGGCTGCATGAAAAAAAGAAAACATCGTTTTTTTTTTTATACATATATATTTTAATCTTAGTCTAACTTTAAATAATGGCAAAGTGACAAATAAGACAAACAACAACAAAATGGAAGTATAGACATAAGACTTTCTACAAGTATGCCGCCAGTCGGTTATTCTGACATTAATTGTAACTGTATTTTAGAACTAGCAAATTTTACACATTTTTAGCGCGGAGTTAGTTAAATATTTGCAAGCGAAGTTAAAACAAAAAACACAAGAAACAAAAACAAATAACGAATCATTTTAAATAACGAAATGAACTCTATATTAGTATTGTATAATTATTTCACTTAGTAGTACAAAAATGAGAACAAATGTACTAAATTCTCTTCCGCATTATATTTTAAATTTAATTTTAGTTTTAGTTTCATCTTTGACAAAGAGATCTTAAATTTTACATTTCATTATCTCTAGAGAGGTTTTGTAGTATTAGAAATCCATTCATTTTGTAAATTATCATCCATTTATTTAAATTATTCTAAATTTGAAATTTATAATAAGTTTTAAACGATTCGTCGTGGCAGGCAAAGGAGAAAGAACAATTAAGATAATTGAAGATTGTGTATAGGTGTTGAAGGAGCTGTAAAAGAACAACAAAAACCGTGATTTAATTCATTATATACACATGAAAAGAAATAAATGGAAAAAGTATTATTAAATGGTAAAAAAAGTTTGAATTTTATTTTGTTGCACTAATCAGAAAACAGTAGTTGAGTGGATCGATTCTATGACATCTTCATCATCGGTTTATTTTCGATAGTCATCGGAAAGAGTGTTGGAAAAGATGTAAACTCATAGTTGCACGGATATTCATCGATAGCACGCATGTCGTGTTTTTGCTTGGTGCTGGCAATGCCGTGACACATAACCTTCCTTTTCTAAATAATTTTTGTGCTGTGTACACGTGTTCTCCACAATGGCACCCGTCGTAAAAGCTAAAAAGGTAGCCAAATCGGCCAAAAAGGGCAAGAAGCATCCCTTGAACTCATACCTGAAGGGCGGTATCCTGCGTTACTCAAAAGCCCAGGTAAAAACAAAATAAAACACACTCCGAAAATTCGGTCACAAAGTTTGGCATCTGCTTTGACGCGCCGCCTTTGCGTCGACAGCAACAGCGTGTGTGAATAATGCGATTAATTAGTGTTTGATATATTTCTTTTCTTGTGTTGTATAGATGTACAAGCGCCGTGCGCTGTACCGCCTGAAGGGTAAGAAGAGTCCCGTTGTCCAGAAGGAGAAGGTGCCCATCAAGAAGGTTAAGAAGATCGGTGGCCCCAAGAACGGTGGTGAGCGTACCGTCTATCTGCGCAAGCCCAAGGCCAACTATCCAACCAAGACGTTCGTCAAGAAGCGTCCCGGCAAGGCCAACTTCAGTGAGCACAAGCGCAACACTCGCCGCAACCTGCAGCCCGGCACCATCCTCATTCTGTTGGCTGGCCGTCACCAGGGTAAGCGCGTTGTCTTGCTGAAGACTCTGGCCTCCGGCCTATTGCTGGTCACTGGTCCCTTCGCCATCAACTCGTGCCCACTGCGTCGTGTGTCGCAACGCTACGTCATTGGCACCTCAACGCGTGTGGACTTGAGCACCTATAAGGTGCCAGAGCATTTGAATGACGCCTACTTCCGTCGCCTGAAGGCCAAGAAGCAGAAGAAGACCGGCGAGGCCGACATCTTCGCAGCCAAGAAGGAACGCTTTGTGCCCAACGAGCAGCGCAAGAAGGACCAAAAGGAGGTCGACAGCGCCCTGTTGAAGCTCATCAAGGCCCATCCGGAGGGCAAATACTTCACGAAGTACTTGCAGAACATGTTCGCTCTGCACTCGTCCCAATACCCACATCGTCTGCGCTTCTAAGCAACGCGTTGCCCAAGAAAAACTTCACTTTAAGGACTTTTTAAATACTTTGTACAAGCCCCGCTGATTACAAACAATTTTGTAAAAAGAAAATAAAAATTACAGAACCGGAACTCAGTGTCGAGGTATGAGGAAAAGAACAAACTAAGTGTGGTCTTGATTATTTTGCAGGCGCCTCTTGCTGACAAGCTTGGTCGTCTTCCTGGTCTTCGTCGTCATCGCCACCCTCTTCATCGGGCAGAGGGTACTGCATCTGAAGATTGAGTGCACTTAGGAATTTCCGACGTCCATGTATATACCAGAGCATCTCACGATACGAGCCCGGCAGCACCTCATCCACAATAGTGTCTGCCTTGAAGGTGATGTAGAATATGTTGGTCGTCGTATGCTCTCGCCTGTCCGTATTGAAGTTCTGTGCAATGGTCATCAGCTGCAGGTAGTTGTGCGACGTATACACCACATGGGCGTTCATCTGCAGGAAGTCGGTGACCATAACGGGCTTCAGGAAACTAATGTCCGATATGCACTTCAATCTGGGCGCATCCCCCACATAGACGCTGGCCATGACGACGGTCAACTCGACGGCCTGACGCATCAGATAGCCGCCGAAGACCGTGTTCTGTGCATTGCGATTCTGTGGATACGGCTTCAACAGGGTCGAGCACATGCTATCCTTCATCCAGCGGCAACGATGCGGCAATATGCGTTTGTTCAGCTCAAAGGTGTTTGGGGGCGTGGTCCGCTGGAGAACATTATACATGATTGCCTGCTCATGCTCCAGCGGGGGTGAAATGAATACACTTTCACCTCTAGCTCGTTTCCGTTCGATTTGTCGTTTATTCGCCGCCTCCCAATATTTTTGCTCCATTTCGTCGGCTGGCTTCAGGGTGTTCGCTGGGGCTGGGCCCGTGTTGGTGGCGTTCCGAGCGACCATTATGAACAGCGCCTTGGTCACATTCACATACTCGCCATCGACCGGCTGACGCACATAGATTGTTATCTCCATGGAGCTGCTGCCGGTCCAGGAAACAAAGCCGCTCAGCTCCAAGTTCTTGTTCAGGGCTAAATACTCCGTGTTCTTAAAGTCGACGCGATCCACGAGGATTGTGACGAAGGTATAGGGCAAGAACACATTCTTGGGCAGATTCGGCAACTGGATATGACGATGACATATCCAGACTGGAACAAAGGGATTAATAGTCATCATATATTATAGTCGTGGTGCTCACCTGCAAACATGTCCATGTCCTCCATCAGGCGACCCAAGCGCACCCGGCCCAGGTGATTAACGTAACGTTCACGGATCAGCTCATTGCCGTACAGCGGCACAGTTACTACCGTATAGGAATCCTTCATGCTGCGCGTCGGCAGCTCCTCCTGCTTGGGCTGGTACTTGAGCAGATTCTCCCGCGACTTGGGTCTAATGTGATATCCAATGTCGACGCCCGTGCGCTCACGCAGCTTTATTACAACTGCGGGGAAGAGAGAATCAGGGGTGTTGCTTGTCTTAATGGCTTTCGCTGCTTACTGTCATGAATGGTGCCAGAACTATGATCCGATTGCTCCTTCATATATTCATCCATATAATAGTGCCTGCGCGCACAGTGCTGGGGCCATCGCGCTTGAATCCTATTTTATTGTGTGACTTCATTATGTATTCAACAAGATTATGGAGATAGCTGGCCATGCCTCACCTGATTAAATATTGCCATCTTCTAGGTGTCCAGAGACTTAGACGCGTCATACGAGAATTTTCAATTTAGAATTTGCAATTTAGAAGACAAAGTTTGAAAAGATAATTTGACTATGAAAATTCTACATAGCTATATACAACTAAAAAATCATAAAATTTTTAGTAACAAGAATTTATCTATATAAATGGAAGATAGATAGATACATTAGATATACGATAAAGATGAAACATACTAAATAAATTTTTGTAACGCTTCGATGATTGCTAAAAGACAAGACAGATATTAATCTGATGGGGATGATTTACAGATGAATTAACAGTTAACTATATATATATTTTAAGTCTAAGAATTGATAATAAAACAATTTTTGCATCATAATAGGTTGAAAGTTCTTTATTTAGTAAATTCCATTTTTTAAAAAAAGGTGCACTTTTTGTTTTGGGCAATAGATATTGTAAAATTAAAATTTTGGATAAAATATTCATAAATTTGACATTTAAACAGACAAGCAAAGGGCGGTTAATCTGAAGAAAATATATTAGGTATCGCCACTTTAGTATTGCCTCCTTAGTATTGCACCACATATTGCGTTATCCAAATTCATTCGTAATGTGGCTCAATGCCCATACTATATTTGAATTTGCGACGTCCTTGGATGTACCACATGGTCTCGTGATAGGAGCGTGGTAGCACCTCGGTCACTGTGTGCGATGCCGAGAAGGTGTAGTAAAAAGTGTTGGTGGTCACCTGGTTGCCCGAGTGCGGGTCCAGCACCTCGGCCACAGTCATAATTTGCAAGTAGTTGAGCTCCGTGTAGACCACATAGGCCGTCATCTTAATGAATGAGTCGACGCTCACGGGCTTCTCGAAGCTAATGTCCGCAATCCGATCCAGCTTGGGACGTGTCCGACAGTAGAGTACTGCAGCTGCCCAGCTAATCTCTAAAGCACAGCGCATGAGAAAGCCGCCAAAGACACGGTTGTGATGATTACGATGTTCGGGAAACGAGGGTATGGTGCTCATCTGATACGAATGCGACATCCATCGGCAGTTGGGCGGCAAGATTCGTTTGTTCAGTTCCATGGTGTCGTTGGGCGTTGTCCGCTTGAACAGTTCATACATAATGGTTTGCTCCGGATCGTTGGGCTCCACCTTGAAGATGGACTGGGCGCCAAGCAATTGACGTTGCTTTTTCCGTGCCATACCGCCATCCAAAATGAGTTGCTCCTCCTCGTTGCCGGGTTTAATGGGATTCACTGGCGCCGCTCCCGTATTAGTTGCATTCCGTGCAGCCATCAGAAAGAGGGCACGCGTCAATTTCTGATAGCTGCCGTTTTGCATCTGCTCCAGCCACACGACAACCTCCATGGAACTGGTGCCCACCCACGAAACATGCCCGGAGAGACGAATATCGGCAGTGCCGGAGGCAAGCGTATCGGTGAAATCAATGCGATCCACCAGAATGGTGACAAAAGTGTAAGGCAAAGGCACATTTGCTGGTAGATTGGGTATGACCACATGTTTGTGACAGCTCCAAGCTGTAAGAAATATGATAGCCGTGAATATCCTGTCAGATTTCTATAGGGTAATATATGCCAACCCGCAAACATATCCATATCCTCCAGCAGTCGGCCCATGCGCACATTGCCCAGATATGTCACGTACCTGTCTTGCAACAAGAGATTCGTGCTGAGTGGTATGATGGCCGATGTGAAAGAGTCCTGCATTGTACGTGACGGCAGCTCCTCCAGCTTGGGCTGATATTTAAGGAGATGTTCGCGCGACTTTGGCAGGGGCTGATAGCCGTGGTCCAAGCCCAGGCGTTTCATCATCTCTTCCTTGACTGAGAACAGAGCGGAGGACTAAAGTGAGCGTTTGAGATAAACCACAGGGATTCACTTACTCTCCGCCATTGTGCCTGACTCATTGGCCGTCGAATGCTTGATGTGCGTGGGCGGCCCAAAATGACGGCTACAACGTTCGCTGTTTGTTTATAAACTAACATTGAATACAGTTTGCTACTCACATAGAGACGACGGACGCAACATTGCTAGGGACACACAGCTTACTAGGTGTTCTTTTTATCAGTGCATTGCTGGCCAGGCTTACACATCGTTTTGCCCCTGCTAAATGGCGCAACATTACTTCAAATTTTGTTTAAAGATTTCCGAAAAGTAAAATGGCGAATTTTCGTTGACCTAGAACTAGTTGCTGTTATGTGTGTACATACTCTACTGACGAACAGCTGATTCGTAGGCTGCGCACAGTGGTTTAATGTTGATCGTAATCGTTGCATCAAGTGCGCTGCTTGTGGAAATTTTAGCGCGTGAGATAAGGTCGTTTGCTTGTCTTTTTATCTAATCTGAATTAATAGCGTACAAGTGTTGACAATTTATTAACTACACTTACAATATTTGCATACGCGTACATTCAATTAATTCATGATTCTGTGCTTATCTGTGGCAAGTGCACCACGGTTCATTAGCGACATCTGGTGACGTCATCAATAACGGCGATGATGCTCGAAGTTGATTAGCAGCAAATCAAATCCGATTATGATGGCACAACTAATTGCCACTATAAAGAGGGTCAATTATTGAAATGTAATTAATTGAATATAATCAATAAAAATATATATCTACATATACATATGGTTTTGACTCATATACTGTATAGGATTAAAAATAAACAAAAACTATTTTCCATATTTCAATATTCAATATATTTAATATTCAATTTAACAATATAATATTCAATACTCTTATATACTACATAGATTTCAAGAAATGTGAAAGTATTTTAAATTTTAATATTATTTAATATTCTTAAAAATATTGTTCTCCATAAGTAAGCAATAATACATTCAATACATAGTATACTGATTAAATTAAGAAATGTTACACTAGAGATTCAGTTCCTTCAGTGCAAAGTTGAGAACCATGGGCAACAAGCCCGCGTCCTCCAGGTCCAGAATCTGCTGGCGTAAATTATCCATTGGCTTGGACGTGATAAGCTGTAAAGAACAAGATAATTAGTTTAGAAATTAGCCAAATTATATCTTAATCTCCATTCTAACTTACTTTCTTAACCTTTTCGCGATAATCAGCGCTTTGGCAGAATATAAGTACAATGGCTGCCATGTGTGGACGTTGGATGAGCATGCAGAGCTCGGCAAATTGATACAGATTCAGGGCATGCACAACCGGACAGCCCTGCAGACGTAGTAGCGTCTTTTGGAGTCGTTCCTCCAGTGCATTGGAGCGTGTTTGCACCGCATTCTTGAGGGGATGCGACAACACACAATCCCAGGCCAGAGCGAGGCCATCGAGATGCAACAGCTGCCGCTTACAACTGAGCACATCGACCAATGCATTCAGCTCGCGCACCATATTGAATATAACCATGCGCTTTAGTATGCCGTTCCAGATCTTGGGCAAATGTATATCGAATCCCAGGCAAATGTCAGCCATTACCTCAAGCGAAAGCGAATTCTGTGCATTGCGCTGCCAGAGCATCTTCAGGATGCTAATCTTATCGCAGCTATCGTCCGCAAACTTCTCTATGTTTGAGTTGTAGCCGAGCGCCTTCAGTTCGTGGACACACTTGATCGTTATAAACTGTCGCTGGCTGATGGTATTGCTGAAGGAGTTGCTGCCATCGTTGAGCTTCGAGTAGCATTCATACATCTGCAGTTGCGTGGAGGTGTTCACGGGGCTGCGAAGGGAGCACAATAATCAATATATGATTTCATAAGAGTTAATTTCAGACATACCCGCCCTTAAAGATCAGGCCAACCAGGAATTGCACAGCCTCCGATTTGGGCCAGCTGCTGAGTATATAAAATGCTCGTACAACATTCTCACTGGCATTGCCTGTCTCGTCGCCGCCACTGCCATTGGTGCCATTCTCTGGCCAATTGTGATCCTCGAGGAAGGTCTCCTCCATGATGGTGCCATCGGTAGTCTCCATTGTGACGGACAGCCACTTCTGCAACAGCTTAAACTGTATGGCATCGAGACTGAGCTCGTGCAGCGCACAAATCTCCTTGACAAGGCCATTGATGTCCACCTTGCTGGACTTGAGTATCAATTCGTGATGATAGAGGCAGTGGATGAGCTCAGTGGGATGCTCGACGAGACGCAACAGTTTCTCATCTGTCATGCCATAAACGTGGAGCAAATGCTGTGTCTTTTGCATGGGATATCTTCGCTTAATTTTGACCAACTGTTCCTGGCATTTGGGATCTTTGGTCAACTCTTCGTGCTTCATGGCATATTTCCAGCACTCGTAAGAGGCCTCCACCTGATCTGCACCTTCTGGCGCGTAACCAGCAACGAAATACAAGATTAGAAACACCTTGCTCGGACTGTGCACATTTTTGACCAAACGAAGGATCTGCAAGGGAAATGCGATTAAGTTAGATAAACTAAATTAAATTTAGTTAAAGATACTACCGATTTAAGGAATGCATTATTTGTTGGATGCAAGCTCCAAGTTTCTGAATCGTTTTTCGATTTGTACTCGGCTATAGAGTTCTTAACGGCTGCCATGCAGAAGTAGTCACAGTTCTGGGAGATTTCCTTGGAGTTCTTCAGCGCAATACACATGAGTATAAGAGGAAACCAGCTCTGGCAGTTGTCCACATTCAACTCGCTATCTGCAGCAGGAATATCACAGAGATAAAATTAATATATGCACATCATATAGACAGTAAAATAGAATCTCTCACCGAGTATGTCCTTCAGAGGCTTCTCCACAATAGGCTTAAACGGCAGTCGATAGCGCGCTATCTTGGGCAGCACACCGTTCTCCTTCTGGGACTGCAGCCACATGTCCGTCTCCAGTTGGCCTGGCCGATTACGACGACGTTTGTTCATCTTGTGGCGCAGGAAATGTAAGATATTTATCCATGTTTCCATCTGCTTGGGCGCCGCATCGAAAAATATGAGAATCTCAATGACGCACAGGTACAGTTCATAGAAATAGATGTTGATCTCCTCAATGAATTGCTTCAGTTTGGCTGTAAAGAGATCCACGTTCTTGATCTCGTTTATATACGGCTGGCACATGTCGCGAATCTCCTGCACGCTGCTCAATATCACCAGCTCTTCGTCCCCAAACGTATCCGTCTTGATCTCATAGCGCAGTTCCTGTGCATTTAAAATGCTCAATATTTGTGTAATGAGCATCTTCTGATAGTCCAAGCCGAAATCGGAACTCATGCGCTCCAGCAACTGCACATTAAGCCGTTTATTGTGGAACTCCTTTAGCAACTGATCTATGTTGTCCATTTCGGCATTGAATTTGCCCTTAATACTAGGATCCTGCTGGCAAAACTCCAAATAGTAATACAGCTTGTTGCGTCTGTTGAGGTAAGGTTATCAAATTTAAGCACAATAAAATTCATAATCATCTATCATACTTGGCACGCAATATTTGCACATAGTCCATTTCATCAATGTGCTCATGGTACATAGCGGAAAGTGTCAGGAAATGTATTTTCTGCTGATCCGTTTTGATATCCATGGACAGCTTATCCAGTAGGGCACGCGACTCGGTGTCAGCGGTCAGCATGGTGAAGAGCTCTGAAAAGGATCCAGATATTAGATCAAGAATTGGAATTATCAGTGAAAGACCTTTACCAATCAGATTCGCATCCTTGTTATTCATCGCATTGCGTAGAATGCGTCGCAATTGGAGGGTAATGAAGCCCTCATTGATGATCTTTTTGCTGTGATTCTGTTTCTGATATTCCAGCAAATATTGGGACATAATGTACCAAACATCATGCTCCTTGGCTTTGGTCAAATGCTCCAGGGACAAGAAGAAATCAGCGCGTGCTCCATCAATATCGTTCTTGACATTTTCTGGCAGTAGCTGCTGCAGTTGCTGCATCAACGAATTATTTGAATCCGTCTCAATGATCATGAGCAGCAGCGTACGAGCCAAAAATTTGACAATGGGTAGACTGCCACTAATTCGTTTCTATAAGATGCATAATATATAGATTATAAAATGATTTCGTATGAATTTTAGTTGAGATGATGTCACCTTCTTTTGCGGTTGCTGCTGTGGCTGCACATCGATCTCCTCGAACATGGAGACGGAGTAACGTTTCTTGGACGTTGACTCCACATTGGGTTTCACTTCGAGGGAGTTATTGAGCGCCATGGAGAAATTGAGCGTTGTATCGCCCAAGGCAATGGGAGATCCATCCAATGCGCGACAGATTTGATCATTAATTTTCTGCTCCTTGCCCAAATAGTGCATCTCAATGGCATCCATTGGATAGTGTATGACGGCAACGCGCACATACTTAATCAGCTCGTTGAGATCACGCTGACGACGGTGCTCGTGCAACATGGCCTCGGTCAGCAGCTCGTAGGCCAGCGGAAAGCACAGGGGATCAGTTTCATTAAGCTGCTGCAACGATGAGTGCGTATCTGAAAAGAAAAGGGGAGTCAATCAAATGAGGTCAATTGCCATATATGTAAGCTTAGACTTACCATGCCCATTGCTTTTGGCTTCGCAAATTTGCTGCGCCAACAGCTCAATGGCAAAGTTAATAAACTCGTTGCTGTTCGCTGGCACACAGTCGACAAACTCGAGAATGTGATGAGCCAGCGCACAGCTGAGTGGCAGGCAGTTCATGCGCTGGCTAATGCACAACAGTCCCTGAACCTTTTGCAAATTGAGTGCGGCGCATAGTTCACCCATTTCGTTGACTATAAAGGCGCAGACATTCAATGTGGCCTGGGCGCGTGACATGATCAGCTCGATGCCCTTATTAAGCAGTTCCAGACGCTTGTGCATTGGTATCAATTCACTGCTGCTCTGCACCTGCAAATTGAACTTTTGGCGCAGCTGGAAGCAATGCTTAATGAGCAAATAACGCTGCATATAAATCGGATCCACGTGGGGTAGCATGAGCTTGAAGAGCTCTAGCAGATTAATGTGCTCCTGCACTTTCGCTTCGTTCACAAATGAACCGGAGCTCATCTCGAGCATATTGGTCAGGATTTCAACCACATTGCCGCATTTATTGTCATTATTTTTTGTGTTTAACGATTTGAAGAACTCATAGGCCATTTCAATTTGACCACGCCGAGCCATCTGATAGCAACAATTGAAATTGGCGCTCGTGGAAATCTCTGGCGCCGCTTTGGTCAGCGTGTGTATATCCTGCAGCATGTCCGGTAAGTTTAGCTTGACAATGCGCATCATAAACAGCTCCAGATTGATGTCAACAGCACCATCCGCTGGCCAGCCATACTTCACCTTCATGATCTTTATCACCTGAATCTCATATTCGGCATTGATCTTAATGCTCAGCGGATGCGTCGAATTGCGCAGCTTGATGAGAGGTGTCACCGATTCGGGCCAAGGCACTGGCGCATTCTGCAGTATCGAGAGAGCGCTCTCCAAACGACTATCCTCATTGTGCAGCAGTTCAACGCAAGCCATTGCACGATCTATCCAATTGCTGAGCGATTGGCGATTGGCCACCAATTGGCCAATATACTGTTTGATGGCATTCAATGGCTGGCGACCCTTCTCCTGATAGATGGGATACAGAAAATCCTTGACCAGACTCTGTAAATTATCTAAATGCACGCGCTGCAGTATGCGCAATGCGATCCCATCTAAAGAGTCCTCCATATAGTTGTCTAGCGTAAAGCTGAGCTTGTAGATCTTCTTTAATACCGATAAATCTTGCAGCGCATTGACCAGATCACGCAGCTTGCCAACATTACGCTCCTGCTGTCGCCCAACATCGCTGTGAAAATAATGTAAGCATAAATTAATAATTGCAGCAATACTTTAGCCGATAATAAGTAACGCACGAGTATATGAATTTAACTTCTTCAAATATTTCCAGGATATTGCTGGCAAACTCTAGACCAATGTCCGGCCAATGTTCGCTATATTGCAGCTTACGCGTCATCTCAATGCTCCAGTCCGTTATGAACGGCATAATTTTGGGATGTGTATTGCTTACTATGGGCACGAATTGACGGAGCCACTGCACCACATTCAGCGGCTCTGTGGTGCTGGGTATAAAGCCCAGCAGCGTGCGCAATTCATCCTCGCTTAGATGTGGCAAAACGCTGCTCGAATGACGACGCCAGATGAGGCAAGCGGTGGGCATATCGGTGCTGAACATACCCTTGATTACCTTCACCAGATTCGTATTGTACACAAACTTTTGCCACTCAGTATTGCACTCATAGGGATCGATGATAGCCAGCGTCTTAAGACGATGCAGCTGCTCATCTATTTCCAGCATATGCTGCTCATCGTCCTATATGCAAATATATTGTAAACATGTAGAGCTATACAAATATTGCGTGATTATTCACCTCAAAATCCAATCTCTTGTGTATCTCTTTTAGGTAACGCTCTAGAATTTGACGTGAGCTTAAATTGATCATGCGATTATTTTTGATAAATTCTTTGCTCTCGATCTGACCCAGCAGATTGAGCAGCATCTGAAATTTTTGTTCCAGCTCATCGGGCTGCACTCTGTTTGTGTTGGCATTGCATAGCTCGACCAGAACACGTTTGGCTCTGGCTTCATAGATGGGCTGCAGGCACAGCTCAAATTGTATGCCAAAATCCTAAAAGGAAATGCAATGAATTATTATCTTTATCAAACATTTAAATTAAATTMAATTTACCTCCGCCTCATCCAGGCGTCCCTTGGCTATCAGTTTCTTTAAGCGATCACTGGGATCTGTTTCGGAAACCATCATCATCTCCACCTCTGCTGGAATTTCGTTTTCTTTACTTGCCCGAGCCGCCAAATAATACAAATTGACGGCACTCTTGGGCTGCCGAATAAGCCAAGTGTGCAGCGGCACTTCGATCTCGTTTTTGCATTTGAGCGCTAAAAAAATTAAACCATAATTAGAATTAGAATTCAATAAAGTAAAAAAAAAAAATCTTACAAGGATATTCGACAATTTTGATGAAACGCTCGCCATCAGCTGTGGGCTTAGTAAGTATCAAGAGCTCCAGATGCTCCTCGCTGGACTCCATGACCAGCAAATCCTCGATGAGCAGCGAGCGCTTCATTGCCGATTGGCACAAGCTTAAGGTGCGTGTAAATGGGCAAATCTCCAACAGATGACCGAATTCAGTCAATGCAATTCTGTAACCGGATGAGCGAGTTATTAGTCAATCCAATAGATAATATATTTAACTTAAACATACATATAGATGTCCATGTTGAAAATACTTTTGATTCTGCCCAAATGCGTGGGTAAACCGATGCGTGTCACATCATTGGAAACGGTCTTAAAATTGAAAGAATCCTGTGCGCCACTTATTATCAAATCGTGATCTGTACGCGGCGCTTCCTGATTGTTGATCGCATAGCCATGGGTCGTTGGCATTTTGAGCAGCAGCGCACTATCTACACTGTTGGCAGCTCGGCCCGAGGATGTGCGCTCAATAGTCACATCGTCTAGAAGTGCTGTCATATTCTCATTGTCATTCAACGTGACATTGGCTAGAGACTCTAAATGAGTTTCATTTATTTCGTTGAGACTGAAATGGAACACCTGGTTGAGCGAATAAGTCTTCAATTTCTATTTCGGTTTCACTCACCAGTAGACGCTGCCATTCTTGCATGTTAAGTAAAAGTGCGATCCCAATCGCTGAATGCTCGTAAAGGTGCCGCTGCTGAGACTAATATCTTCCACTTTGATGCACACACTAAATAGCAAGAAGCCCTTTATGTAGACGCCGTGCACTTCGCCGTCAGTGAGTCCACAAACAATAAGATTTCCGCTATTGGATATGGCAATCGCATCGATGTTAGCGCCAAAACTTAGAAAGCTGCACTTGGCTATCAGCTCATCTTCTAGCAATATCAGGCTCTTATCTATGGATATCACCATTTTGCCACTTTGCACAGCGGCCTGAATCGCAGGATATTTTGAAACCTAACCAAACAATTATAGCTTTATTTATTTAAATTTTTTTTTTTTAATATCAAATGAATTTACCCCATCTTCGCTGCTTATTTTGAATATGCTGCGCGAGGAGAACGCATTCGAAATAGTTTCATCCTCTACCGTAGATGCTTCAAAATTGCTCCACATTGTTTTGCACTAAATGTTTTGTTCGCTAAAAAAAATTTAAACCCACCAGCGCCAAAAATTTACGCGTCACTTTTATGCCAATAGTGATGAGAGTCGATATATCTTAATAAATGTATATCGATAGCTCTGTTTGGAATTCAAATGTTGGAATTTTATTCGTGGAATTTATTTATGGGATTAATATTTAATCAATAATTACCAACTTATTAATTATTTTGTTCTTTAATTTAGGTTAGATATGAATAGAAGTTATAAAATTGTTATAAATTTGCTCTTCAATCTAAAATAGATACACTATCGTTATGCTATACACGCGCAAAGCAATGGTCACCTTAGGCAAAAATCAAAGAATGGAATTTTGGTATTAGGATGTTGTTAAAGTACGGTCACCTTGGCTGACAGTAGAGGAAAATTATTTATATTTTAGAATCCACGACGCTTTGCATACGAAAATCATCAAAATATTGTAGTTACGCTCTAATTTTGAACGCATTGATGCATAAATGACAAAGTGTGGTATTCAAAAAGCGAAAAATATGTGTTATTTGTGTTTAAATGGTTACGCAGCAACCAATTTCCACATAAAAATATAGCCAGGCACCGCGGCCATCAACAAAAAACCAAAAACTACGATAGAAATTTGCGTGCGCAAACGGCAATACTGCATGCTAGAAAATTTGAAACGTGCAAACCCTCAAAAATGCGCTCGCCATTTCCAGTGTAATTAATTAAAAAAAATTGCAGCAAAATTGCTGCCGCTGCTTTGCGGTGGTGGTGCAAAAAGAACATAAAATCGGTGGCAAGAAGAAGAGCCGCCAAGTGAGAAAATTGAAATAAAAAAAAACGCAAACGAAAGCAGAGTCAAGATAATCAACCGCTACGGAGTGCTCCGATCAAAATCAATTAATCATATCACATCAAAATAATAAGAAACGCTCAATTATTGCAACGTGCAGTTCATTGTGTTATTCGTGCTGCAGGTGCTGCTGCTGCGGCTGCTTGGCGCTTCGCTGCTCAGACGCTGCCAACGCTGACGACATGCGCGCGTAGAGTTGCCAGCTCTGAAATAACCAAGGCAGTCGCATTTCTGGCGGCTTCTATCATCACAACACGGATCGACATTCTTTTGGACTCATTTCATTGGTAAATTGCCGCAGCCTATTAAGTAAATAGCAACACGAGATTCAACGCGTTCCTTGTTTATTTTTTCTTTGGTTCTGGCACACAGGTTGGCAGCCCTGTTCAGCAATCAGCGAGGACAACATTTGCCAGGCAAAAATCTGCCTTTTGATAGACGCGTCGTGATCCCACGGATCGACGACGCCATTAACTAGATATTTCGTTCGCCCCGTTGTTCAAGAAAAGCTGCCACCATTCGGAAGAAAAACACTTCGAATATGACCCACAATATCGGTATGGCGCCATATCGTTTGCCGGGTCCAGCGGGCGGCCTCTGTCCGCCCGATTTTAAACCTCCGCCCCCGACGGATATTATCTCGGCGCCGAGTAATCCGAAGAAACGGCGGAAAACATCGAATGCGGCCAATTCGGCGGCAGCCGCTGCTGCAGCAGCAGCAGCTGCGGCGGCTGCCGCTGCCAATTCCATGCAACAGCAGCAATCGGCACCGCCCACACCTCAGGATCTGTTACCACCGCCGCCAATGGGCGGCTTTGGTGATACGATCGTCGCGTCCAATCCATTCGATGATAGCCCCCAGGTATCGGCCATGTCGAGTTCGGCGGCCGCTGCCATGGCGGCTATGAATCAAATGGGCGGCGCTGGCGGTCCGGGTGGACACTTTGGACCGCATCCGCATTGGGAGGAGCGAATGGGTATGGGCATGCATCCTCATATGCATCCACATCATCCTGGTGCTGGCGGTGGCCCAATGGGCCATGGGCCACACGGACCGCATCATATGGGCGGGCCACCACCTATGCGTGGCATGAGCCCATTGGGACCTGGCGTGCATCCACATCCGCATGGCATGGGACCTGGCGTAGGACTACCGCCACACATGAATCACGGGCGAGGCGGCGGAGTTCCCATGGGCAGTCCAATGGGTGGAATGGCCGGCATGGGCGGAATAAGTCCGATGGGCGGCATGGGTGGACCAAGCATATCCCCACATCATATGGGCATGGGTGGATTGTCGCCCATGGGAGGTCCAAATGGACCGAATCCGCGTGCAATGCAAGGATCGCCCATGGGTGGCGCCGGTGGACCGATGCCCGGGCAAAACTCTCCTATGAACTCGCTGCCAATGGGTTCGCCTATGGGCAATCAAATTGGCAGTCCGCTGGGTCCCGGACCTGGACCTGGTCCTGGACCCGGCCCGGGTGGTCAACAACAGCCTGGACAACAGCAACAACAACAACAGCAACAAAACCCGCAACAGACGCACATGAATAATGGACAAATGGGTCCGCCGCCTCTGCACAGTCCGCTGGGCAATGGACCAACGAATCATAGTCACATGTCCGGTGGACCGGGTCCGGGGCCAGGTCCTGGGCCGGGTGGCTTAGTCGGACCTGGTGGCATGTCGCCGGCGAATAGCAACAACAGCAACAACAGCGGTAACATGATGGGCGGCAATGCAGCGAACAACAATAGCAATAGTAATAACAACAGCAACAACAATGGCAGCAACAATCCCAACAGCAACAGCAACAACAATCAAAATCCTCATCCACATCTGTCGCCAGCGGCGGCAGGTGGACGTCTGGGCGGAGTGCCCAATCAAACAATGCAATCGAATGGTCCAATGCCAGCGTCGTCAGCGTCATCGTCTGCTCCATCAGCATCCACAGCGACGACGACGTCCACAGCGGTAACAGCGACCACATCAGTGCCTACGTCCTCACCAGCGCCGCCTGCCATGTCACCACATCACACGTTAAACAGTGCCGGTCCCAGTCCGGGCATGCCTAATGCGGGGCCCAGTCCGTTACAATCGCCGGCGGGCAACAACAACAACAACATGAACAACAATAATGGACCCATGATGGGCCAGCAAATGAACCCAAATGTTCCTATGCAGCAGCAACAACAACAGCAACAACAACAACAGCAGCAGCAACAACAACAGCAACAACAGCAGCAGCAACAACAACAACAACAGCAGCAGCAGCAGCAACATGGCCCTATGGGCGTCCATATGGTTGGGCAGCCAGGCGGACCCGGTGGACACGGACCTGGGGGTCCCATGGGCATGGGCATGAATCAAATGTTGCCGCCACAACAACCACCGCATCTTGGTGGACCACCGCACCCGCAACTTATGAATCATCCGCACCCGCATCATTCGCATCCAGGCGGTCCACCGCCTCACCATATGATGGGACCGGGCCCGGGCATGCATGGTCCAGGTGGTCCAGGTGGTATGCCGCCTCACATGGGCGGCGGCGGTGGCGGTAATCCGCATATGATGGGACCACACGGCAATGCTGGGCCACATATGGGTCATGGTCACATGGGTGGTGTACCGGGACCGGGTCCAGGACCAGGCGGCATGAATGGTCCACCACCGCATCACGGAATGCCACCTCACCATGCGCACACACACCCACATCATCACGGTCACGGGCACAGTCCCATGGGTGGGCCAAACATGTTTGGCGGCGGCGGCGGCGGTGGGCCTATGGGTCCGGGTCCCATGGGTAATATGGGTCCCGGACCAATGGGCGGTCCCATGGGCAACATGGGCGGTCCTATGGGAAAACCCATGACAATGAGCGGTGGTAAAATGTATCCACCGGGTCAGCCAATGGTCTTCAATCCTCAGAATCCTAATGCGCCGCCCATCTATCCATGTGGCATGTGTCATAAGGAGGTCAACGACAACGATGAGGCAGTCTTCTGTGAATCCGGTTGTAATTTCTTTTTTCACAGGTAAGCAGAGGTTTCAACCTCGTCCAAGCAGTGACTGAAGGCTTATCTCTATTTATATATATGTTTTCCATTTTGTAGAACCTGCGTGGGTCTAACCGAGGCGGCCTTTCAAATGCTCAATAAGGAGGTGTTTGCCGAGTGGTGCTGTGACAAGTGTGTGTCTTCCAAGCATATACCCATGGTCAAGTTCAAATGCTGAAGAGCCACCAATCAACTGCAACAACGATCGTAACCACAAAACCAACAACCACCACCAGCTAGCACTCATTCACTCTGTATAAATATATCCAAGCATTAACTATTTTAATTGTAGATGTTAAGCAGTTTAGGCTATTCATATACATCATACACAATATATGCGCTCACAATAGTCAAAGGTCCCCAACGAAACCATCAATTTAAATGCGACGACTATATATATAT